GAAGGGCGCTCACAGCGACTCATCAACCCGAAAAGGACCAAAGGGAGAATCTCTTTCAATCGAGGTGTTTGGTCGAGGGTCAACTCCTGTCTGTAATCGCCGACGGCGGCAGCTGCGCTAACGCTGTTAGCCAGGACGTTGTTAAGCGCTTGGGACTGAACACAAGTCGACATCCGGCACCATATAATTTGCACTGGCTTAACAACTACGGCGCAATCAAAGTTCAGCGACAAGCTCTCGTAAAATTTGAACTCGGTGATTATAAGGATGAGATGTTGTTTGACGTTGCCCCTATGCAAGCTACCCATCTGCTTCTCGGTCGACCTTGGAAGTTTGATAGAGGCGTATGCCATTACAGGGGAACGAATTGTTACAAGGTTCGACATGGTGGGAAGAAGTTCTTACTGAAGCCGTTAACTCCGGCGGAAGTTCGTGAAGATCAGGAGCAGACGGCGAGTGAAAGGGGAATTTAGTGCAACGAATTCCGAGGTTCACCTTGGAGGTTCCCTTCTCACCCGACGCTTTATGCTCACCGGATACAAAAGGGAGAGGACGTCTCGCCACTGTCGTCCCTATCGTTCGTTGTCGGCGCAGGGGAGGAGAGAGAGTGAATTGGGTGGAGTTCACCAGGGCAATTTGAACTCCGTCAAAGGTGTTGGCACACTCCGTGAGGGTCAGGAAAGCTCCTCCACCGATTGGATTAGCTCGAGTTCTACTCGAACGCAACATCCAAATCGGGTCGAATCACCCCTGCAAACGCTCCTGTACGAGCAGAATTCGGCCGAATGGGTTGGAGCAGCTGATGCAGGACCATTTGGCCATGAAGTCCGAAGCCGTAGAAATCTTCAATTGCGCTCGAAGATCCCTGAAGAAGAAACGCCTAAATCGAATTCAACCCTTTGGGGGTCAGCTAATTTGAACTCGGCTTTTGGCGGGAATGAGGAAAGTGACGATTCGACGATGATGAAGATGGGTCGAGGCATGGGAAGGGTACATATGTTCGATTTTAGGTCCCGTGAAGCTCTCGAAGGCAGTGAATTAGATTGGCGCGGCCTCAATCGAAAATCCCCAATTGATGTCCTGAAGAACACCGCCCCAATTTTCCAGATTCGCCAGTTCGAAAGGCCAACTTTCGTCCCGATTTGGGGTCAATTTTGTGCAAGATTTGAGAAGCGGAAGGAACCAGCTTTGAGGACAAAGCTTTTTGAAGAGGGAGGGCCTGATGCAACCATGTATTGCTTCATAGCCAAGCTGGAACTATTTGTTCAAGAAGGTAACCCAATTCATATGAACAATGTGGGATTTTGGTTAAGTCTTTTGACGAGTTCAGATAGGGTACTTTGGGGACTTGGTTCTTCTGATTGGGGATATGGAATGGTGAGTTTGGGATCTTGTTTTAAATTTCAAGTCCTCTTCTATAAGCTGGAGTGTTTGGAAGCTCGAGGTAGCACGTGGAAGGTCAATTTCCAGGCTCGACAAAAGGCTATCAACACACAGGAAAACTGCCAAATTCTGGCTAAGTATGAAACCATGTTCGGCAGAACAACTTTGGCCGACAATTCTGGGAAGATGGTTGCGAGTTGGGATCAGTGGTTTCCTCCACATCAAACTACAAGTTTCAGGCTACAACAATGAGGGATTGGCTGAGTGATTTGATTCTTAGAAGCACTCGAACGAAGCGCCCAAAGATCGTGTCGAGGCCACTATTTCTGACTTTGGAAATTAGCAATCCTTGTGGGATTGGAATTCACAGCTTGTTTAAGTTTGGTTTCCTTTCCATGTACGGTTGTGTTCTTTTGGGGTTTAAGTCAAGTTGTAATAGGTTTAGGATTCCCTTCCTTGTTCAGTACTCTAGCTAGGTTCTATTTAAGGTTAAGAATTGCGTTGTAATTGGATGAAGTTTTAATCAAAGAACACGTTTTGTTCATTGAGTTTCATCTCGTGAATTGTCCTTGTTTGTGTGGATTGAATTTCATCAATCAAGCGAGCTCGTATCAATTGAGTACGCACCTCAATTGTGGTCGAGTTGCTACCACAAACTCGATCGAGCCTCTTCCCCAATACGGCTAGAAGTTGCACGGTCGATCCATCTCTTTTATCCTGTTTCGTGATCAAGGATCGTCCCAGTTCCTATTTTGAAGAAGCTAGTGTCTTAATCCGAGGTTTGGGATGTATCAAAAATGAAAGGGTGGGGATCGGAGTTGCTAGATGGGAAGTATTTGCAGTATAGATGTGTGGCACATATCATCAATCTGGTTGTTTCTGATGGATTGAAGGAGGTTGAAGTTGCTGTGAAGAGGGTAAGGGATTGTGTGAAATGGGTGAAGTCATCACCAGCTTGGAGTGCAAAGTTCAAGAACAACATCAACTATCTAGAGAAGACTGTTGACTATGGATATTCCGACTAGGTGGAATTCCACCTATCTTATGTTGGATTCTACAGAGAGGTTTGAGTCGGCTGAGTCGGCTTTTAAGTCCATGCATGCTAGTCCTACTGATTCTTCCTTTCAAGACTATGTGGACTCCAAGAAGGGTCTTCCAACTGAAGATGATTGGAGCAGTATTAGGCGGCTCATGAAGTACCTGAAGTTCTTTTATGACCTTACTCTTCGTGTATCAGGTATATGAATGATCAAATTTTAAAATTTATATCTTAAAGTTAAATTGAATGATTATGAGTTATATTATTTATACTGATGATTTGTAATTTTTACTTTGTATTAGGAACATCATATGTCACTTCACATACTTTCTGCAAAGCCATTGTGGATATTCATGAAGTGATAGCAACTTTGAAGAATGATGCAGAAGGACAGATACAAAGAATGACAGAAAGAATAGAGGCAAAGGTGAGAAAGCATTGGTTTGAGAATGATGATGATGACGAGGAGGATAAATAGGATAGTTTACATGGCCTGTGTGCTAGATCCCAGGCGTAAACTAGACTATTTGACTATGATGTTGGAAGAAATGTATGGGAAGTCAAAAGGGGGAAGTTTGGCAGATGAAGCAAAGAAAGAGATGATTGCATTGTACGAGGTCTACAAGATGAAGTATGCAACTCCACTCTCTGATTATGTGCCTACTACCCATACTACTCCTCCTATTGAGACTAGTGACAGATTTGTTGTTGTTATGGGAGGAGCATTTGAAGCTCGGTTCCAGCAGAAGAGAAAGGAGCAAATTTAGAGGGGGGGGGGGGTTCGAGGTTCTAGTGAGTTTGAGTCCTATTTGAGAGATGTTGGTGATGCTATTAATGTGGAAATTGATGATCGGAAGTTTGACATTCTGAAGTGGTGGGCTCGGAACAGTGTTAGATATCCCATTCTTTCAGAGATGGTTAGGGATATATTAGGAGTTCCAGTCTCCTCTGTTGCCTCGGACTCCGCTTTCAGTTGTGGAGGTCAAGTTCTTAGTCCTTTCAGGTCTTCTTTGAGCCCAAACATTGTAGAGGCCTTGATTTGTGCTGAAGATTAGATAAGATATGAAAGTGGAAAGACTGCATATGAACTGAATGATAAGGAAGAAGATCAAGAGACAATCGATTATGCAAGTGGTAAGAATTCAATATATTATTCTAATTTGTTTGTACCCTTTACTATTTAAATGTTAAACCATTCTATTAGTAACATACTCACATTTGTGTTTTTTTTTATTTCCACCAGTTACTAATACTTTTCAATCTCGAGTGGAAACTGCAAGTGACATCTCAAGTGGAGAACATAGCTTACCTGTTAGGGTTGAGGAGGAGGAGGAGGATGGTGATGATGAAACTGCAAGTGACATCCCGATGATACTCTTCTCAGGACTTTGAAGCGGCAAGGTTGTGCAAATGTTGGTGGAACAAGTTCTACCGGAGAAGGAGGAGCATGAGCTATTGGTTATTTGGTTTTCTATTTTAATTTTTAAGTTTGGACTTTGAAGTTGTGTTGAATTTAGACATTATCATTGGGTACTTTAGTCGATTGGCGAATGACGATTATGTATCTATGTTGATTGTTGACTTGTTGTCCCTTTGAATTTGATGATGTTTGTCGTTTGATGAATTTGAATATTTGATAAATGATGATTCTTGATGAGTTGATGTTGATTCATGATTGTTATCCCTTTGAACTTATGTTAAATTAAATAGATAGCAACTTTGAATTGGACAAATATTAAGGCATTAACATATAACATATATTCCATTATTCACAAATATTAACATACATGAATGGAAGTAAGTATAGACCTCAAAAATATTATAAATAAGAGTAATAATTAAATTATTAATTACAAAAATGAAGAAAAAACTCAGAAAAATAAAAATTTAATAGCCTGCCCACTACACATAATTTTGGTTTGGTAATTTCCCAGTAAACCGAACCGAAAACGTGTTGTGGCTCCCTCCTCGCGGTAATCGGTAAAACCGGTTTGTAACCGTTTACCGGGCATTCGGTAACTGGTAAACCGGTTACAAACCGGTAACGGTATTCGAACTATCCCCCTCAAAGCTTGGTATACCGTTTATCGTGTCGGTCGGTAACCGGTTTACCGATTACAGACTGATTGCCACCCCTAAAAAATATCACCCTATATGTATCGGAAAATTATTCATAATTTAGTTAGACATTTGCTTTTGAATGGTGTTCTTTGCCAAGTCCGTTTAGTATCAACAACTCGAGTTGTTGGGAAAGATTTAACTCGGTTAACCATTCTCAATTAGAAGAACCCTAAATAGCTAAATTTTATTCTCAAAGAACTATTATACTAAATTAGTCTTTTTTATCCTTAGGAGCCACCTGTTACACTCTCCATACTCTCAATTGAAATAAAATTATTTTTACAAACTAGCTAGCATTTTTTGGAAATTTGTGGTAGATATTGACTAAGTACATCTTTAATTTTGGGCAGATCATATGCACCATTGCCATTTGTACATAGCTCGTTATAAAAACACTGAGCATGCCAATACACAACTTATAAATCAAGCATCATATATCTGAAATTTCAACCATTCTCATTTAAATACGTGTTAATTTTCATACTCGATTAACTATTATAGCTAATTTAACATTTTTGCTCCCGAGCCAGAGTGGGTCCCAGGACCCACCCTTTAATCCTCTCCCTTCACCCTCACGCCGAGGTGACCCGGAATGATTGACGTCGGGGGTGGTCGAGAAGACTCCAAAGTGACTGATGTGACCCGGGGTGATTGACCCCAGGGGTAGCTAGAGTGACCCCAAGGTAATCTGAGGTGGTTGACCTAGGTGGTATCAAAAGTGACCCCAAGGTGGTCGAGGAGAACTGGGGTGGTGGACTGAGGTGGATGAGGTAACCTGAGGTATTGACCGCGGGGTGGCTAGAGTGACCCCAAGGTGGTCGAGGTGACTCGGAATGATGAACCTCGGGGTAGCAGGAGTGACTCCAACATGATACTTGGATTTCCCCATGTGTTTGTTCCTTCGTTGGATCTTTGGCATCAACGTCTTGGTCATGCCTATTTGAGGGTTGTTCAACATCTTTTGTCATCTCATCAAATAAAGTATTAACATCACTCTCCTTTTGTATGTCATAGTTGTTCAATTAGCAAGATACACAAATTTCCACTTTCGCGACCTCGGCAGGTTGTCCTGTTTTCTTGGCGTAGAGGTTCATCACACTTCTGCAGGCTTGCTCCTCAGCAAAGAAAATACATCTTAGAGTTGCTTCAGTGATCTGGCATGGCCAAGGCCAAATTACTTTCTACTCCCTGCACAGCTTATCAACTCCTTCAAAGTGTTGCATATATGTCTCCAGCATTTCCTGATCTTGGATTATATAGGAGTATCATTGGCGGACTCCAATACTTGAGCTTCACCAGGCATGATATATCCTTTGCGGTGAATCATGTTTCCCAATTTCAGCATTCACCCACTGATGCTCACTGGTCGGCTGTGAAGCGTATCATGCAATATCTCCAATGCACTCTCACCAAATGTCTTCTCTTCCAACGGGTTGCCCAACCACAGCTCCATGGCTACTCGACGCGTCATTTGCATCCTGCCCACAGGATCGTAAATTTATCACTAGGTATGCAGTCTACTATGGTCCCAATTTGGTTTCCTGGTTCACGAGGAAACAAAAGGTAGTGGCTCGTTCTTCTACGGAATGTGAGTACAGGGAACTTGCTACATTAGCTTTAGAGGTAATTTGGATTCAATCTTTGTTGTTGGAGCTTGGTCACAGTTGTTCCTAGGGGCGGAGCCCCCCCCCCCCCCCCCCCCCCCCCCCCCCCCCCCCCCCCCCCCGCCGGGAGATTCGTGAAAGTTACGTATGAACTACATCGATATTTTGAAAATTTCGTAAAAACTAACAAAAGACCTAATACGTTTAGTGTGCAAATTTGAAAAACAAAGTAGGCTTAGTCAAGCGGGGAGGAAGTGAGTTATGATGCAGCTGGTTGAGGGTTCTGAAATTCTGTTACTTTTTATTTGCTTTATGTTTTAATATATCTACATAATTACTCTTTTAAATCTATTATTTCTTGACTCATTTAATTAGATATAATTACTCTTTCAAGTTTCATGTTATGGTCTCTTCATTTCATTATTTCAATATTATTTCTTGACTCATTTGATTTCAAGTTTAGTTTTTTACCACTTTGCAATTTTATATCACTGAAAATTATCCATTTTAACCTTTCATAAGTTATTCTACATCAATATTTTGACTCTAATCATCTAAAATGATTAATCATAATACTAATAAAAGTAAAATTTACTTTGATTGTCTTGCTTAGTTTTTAATTTTTTATCACCCTTCTGCGGTAATAGTATTAAATAATTTTCGGCCCCCCGAACGTCAAATCCTAGCTCTGCCCCTGGTTGTTCCCATTCCCCAGTTTTATGGTGTGATAATATGGGCGCCACTTACTTGGCATTCAATCCTGTTTTTCACACACGTTCAAAGAATCTGGAGATAGAATTTCACTTCGTACGTGACAGAGTCAACATAAACTAGCTCCATGTTCGCTATCTTTCGGCTACCGATCAAATTGCATATGTTCTCACCAAACTGCTCACACGCTTGCCATTCCGCAAGTTTTGCTCCAAGTTTCACCTCTCCGAGGTTCCACTTGCGGGGGCGTGATAGAAGATAATTATCTCCTTGTATTTAGGCTTGTAAACAGCAAAAAATACTCTGTTTTTCTGTTACTGTATTCTAGCCTCTATTCCTCCTTTCTAGCTTTTAGTTTCACCACTTAGCTTAGGATTCTGATCACTCCATGTATTGTACATAATTGACTTTAATTAGTAATGAGAAGATCAAGGATTTTCCGTCAGTTCATGGTATCAGAGCCTATACACTCTAACAGGTTCTAATCATCTTCTTCTCCCCCAATCCCCTCCCCCCCCCCCCCCTCTTCTCTTCATATGTTCCCCATGTTGACCACTTCCTCTTTTCATGGTCCTTCTACCCACTCCGCATATCCACCCCATCTCACTCTTCCTTCTAATCTGCCATTGACCGTCAAGCTCACTCCCACGAATTACCTACTTTGGAACGCGCAACTCCAGCCTCTACTCCGTTGTCATCGACTTATCAGTCATGTTGATGGCACCATCCCTGTTCCGCCACCACTGATTGATGCACAACCCAATCCGGCCTATAATGACTGGTATGAGCGTGATCAGCTTGTTGTTACCTGGATTAATCTCTCTCTTTCTGAAGTAGTGCTGCCCAACGTCATCAACAAACCCACAGCTCGTGATGCCTGGGATACTCTCGCACGAGTCTATGCTTCAAGTTCCCCTGTCCTCGTCACTCAGCTACGCCGCTTCCTCAATCACATCAATCGTGGCAATGACTCGGTTCACGCTTACCTGTGGCAAAGGCCATTTTTGATCAACTAGCGGCGTTCGGTTCTCCCATCGCTGAGACAGAGCTCGTCTCTTCAGTTCTTGATGGCCTAGACGAGGAGTTTAGGCCATTTACACGCAATGTGGAGGCTCGGCTGGAGCCTATTTCCTTTGACAACCTGAGTAGCCTGTTGATCAATGAAGAGCTTCAATTGCGTCATTTCCAGGCTGCCGGGGGTGTTTCTTCTCCACGGGCTTTCTTCATCGGCAATTACAGAGGTCGTGGTGGTTGTAGTCATCGTGCAAGGGGCGGCCACAACAATGGAGGTCGTGGATCTCATCTCATGTCTCAGCCCAATTATTCTAACCCTAATAATAATTTGTTTCGGCACATGTCAGCAGGTGTTTTGGGTTCCGGGCCCAATAGTCCAACTTCTGTTATATGTCACAATTGTGGGGGTAGAGGCCACATTAAGCCCAACTGTCCAAGCCCACAAATTTCCCAGCCTGCCTATTCTCCTGGACCAGCCTCGCATTTAGCCCACTCCTCTCACCCAACCCAATCTCCTCAACAATGGCTCCTGGACTCTAGCGCTAATCATCATCTTACCGCCACATGAAGCATGAGCTCTATCGAGGTGCAATGGTTGATGGACTTTATTCTCTCCCACTTCACATCAATCGGCGCCTTCTTCCCCTCGTGTTTGTTGCTTCGTTGGATCTTTGACATCAACGTCTTGGTCATGCCAATTTGAGGGTTGTTCAACATCTTTTGTCATCTCATCAAATAAAGTATAAACATCAATCTCCTTCTTTATGTCATGGTTGTTCAATTAGCAAGATACACAAACTTCCGTTTCCGACCTCTTCCTTATCGGTCATTCATAAGCTCATGGAATTCTTCCGATCTCGTTTTGCTCTTCGCAACCTCGGTAAGCTGTCCTATTTTCTTGGCATAGAGGTTCATCACACTTCTGCAGGCTGTCCTATTTTCTTGGCATAGAGGTTCATCACAGTTCTATAGGCTTGCTCCTCAGGCAAAGAAAATACATCTTAGAGTTGCTTCAATGATTTGGCATGGCCGAGGATAAATTACTTTCTACTCCCTGCACAGCTTATCAACTCCTTCAAAGTGTTGCATATATGTCTCTGGCATTCCCTGATCTTGGATTATATAGGAGTATCATTGGCGGACTCCAATACTTGAGCTTCACCAGGCATGATATATCCTTTGCGGTGAATAATGTTTCCCAATTTCAGCATTCACCCACTAATGCTCATTGGTCGGCTGTGAAGAGTATCATGCTATATCTCCAAGGCACTCTCACCAAAGGTCTTCTCTTCCAACGGGGTTCCCAACCACAGCTCCATGGCTACTCCGACGCGCCATTTGCGTCATGCCCACAGGATCGTAAATCTATCACTAGGTATGCAGTCTACTATGGTCCCAATTTGGTTTCCTGGTCCACTAGGAAACAAAAGGCAGTGGCTCGTTCTTCTACAGAATGTGAGTACGGGGCACTTGCTACTTTAGCATCAAAGGTAATTTGGATTCAATCTTTGTCGTCGCAGCTTGATCAGAGTTTTTCCCATTCCCCAGTTCTATGGTGTGATAATCTGGGCGCCACTTACTTGGCACACAATCTTGTTTTTCACACACGTTCAAAGCATCTTGAGATAGAATTCCACTTCGCACGTGACAGAGTAAAAAAAAACTAGCTCCATGTTCGCTATCTTCCGGCTATCGATCAAATTGCAGATGTCCTCATCAAACCGCTCACACGCTTGCCATACCGCAAGTTTTGCTCCAAGTTCCACCTCTCCGAGATTCCACTTGCGGGGGCGTGATAGAAGATAATTATCTCCTTGTATTTAGACTACAGTCAACAATACTCTAATTTTCTGTTCATGTATTCCAGCCTCTGTTCCTCCTTTCTAGCTTTCAGTTTCACCACTTAGCTTAGGATTCGGATCAATCCATGTATTGTATATAGGGGTGTCAGTCGGTCGGTTTCGGTTTAACCGAAAACCGATTTCTCGATTATCGGTTAAATCGAGCCGTCCCCTACACCCGCCGACCAGCGACCGTGAGGAAAGCTACGGCTAGCCGACCACCGACCGACCGAATTTCGGTTTTGGTTCGATATATAACCACAAAACCGATTTTATATATAAAAAAATACAACCCCACCCCACGCACGTTTCTTCTCTCCTTTATTGTTAAACTAGTGTGGGCCCCGGCCATTTGGCCGGAGGAAGGTAGGATGGCAATGGGTCGGGTTGGGTCGGGTTTTGCCAAATTCAAATCCAAATTCATGGGTTTATTCGTGAAAAAAATTCGGGGTAAAATCCACTGGGTTTGAAAAACTCAAACCCAACTCAACCCCCTGGGTATCCGCGGGTTCATGGGTACCCACAGGTTTTTGTCTTAAAAAATTTACAATAACAAGTTGCTATCAAAATTAAAGTCAAATATCAATCTCTCAATACAAATTATCCATATATAAAATACCATTCTAGAAAATTCAAACAAATAACAAATTATCCATAAATAACATGATTAATTGAAAGCTTCTTCCTTTCAATTAAGTTTCTTCACTCTCCACTCGATAACATCAACTTCATTCTACACAATTAGAAAGAAAAAATTAGACATGTCTCCACAAACATAAATAAGATAAGTTGTTTAGAATATTAAATATATCGAGAAAATTAATTATATGGGTGTGGGCGGGTACCCATGGGTCGGGTTTACCTAAACCCAAACCCAACCCAACCCGATGAATATTGAACGGGTTTAAACCCAAACCCGGCCCAAAACCCGTCAACACGGATTTTACCCGCGTTGACCGAGTTGGGTAGGGTGGGTACCCGTGGGTTCGGATTTTGTTTTCATCCCTAGAGGAAGGTGAGGTATGAAATTTGATAATGTAATGGGGTGTATA